TCCAGGCTTAAAGTTCTAGGTCCGGCTTGGCGATAAAGGTTACTGACTTCTGCTTACAAAACGCAGTTTACAGCAAAGGAACGTGAATTAGTTTGTGATCTCTACGACGTTTGAGCAAGGAAAAGGGTTTCTAATGGTCTACTCATACAGGAAAGTGTAACAAGTAAGGACCCGACAGTTTACAGTGGGCCAACACAGGGAGGTTTATATGAACAAGGAAGCTAATGTGTTTGCACAGGAAATATTTTAACAAGGCAGGTGATAAAGCCATCTTGAAACATTGGTGTATTGGACTAATGCCCTGCTATATTGTCACTAAACACAGGGCTTTAGAATTTATGTTGTTGGGATTTACATATTCATGACAAAGATAACACGCATTGTGTAAAGTTTACCTTAAAGGTCTTTTCTTTCAGGTAGATCTAGTCAAATCCAGTTGTGCTGTCTTCATTTATTTCCCTCAATAATGTCTTCTACTATCTAAATATACAGAGTGCATTCTGTATTTTACATGTGTTTTGAATACAGCAGTGTTTCCCTTTTATGACACGTGTGCTGCCTTCGGTAAGATCAAAGGGATTCTTTCCGAAGGCTAACTTTTCTCTCACAGGAAAGGAGGAAAAAATCCTAAAAATTTATCTCCACCTTCAGGCAAAAAAGGTAACAGACGGTGGAGGAATGCCAAGAACTAATAATAGGCTTGTTATGCAGGTCCGGCTTCTTTCTTTTTGTGTCTCCTTCGAGTGTTTGTCCATCCTCCAGCCAGTTGGGAAATGGACAGAAATGACCACTTCCTGTCTAAAATGACCACATCCTGTCTAGACTGCCTTACCTCTTCAAATCTCCTTTTTACCTGTTTGCCAGGTGATTAAAATCTGAATCACCTCCAGACAATCTTATCTTACATTGCCTCCTTAATCCCTCCTTATTGTCTTGGCATTATGTAACTTAAGAAAATGAATCACTTCTTCCTGGGTGCACCCTTTTTTCCTGTTTTGATGTAGAGGCTTAAACAGGAATAATACGATTCCTTTTTTTGGCTCAAGCTCAACAAAGCATTGAGTGCGGGCCATGAAAGATTGATAGGTGGGATCAGGTTATATGATGGAAGTAAAATATGCTGACTGGACAATGGAAGCCTAGATCTCTTTCTCAGTCAATATTTCCTCAGCTAACACAGACCCTTTGATACACTGAATTAGCCTGGAGGGTACACAGGGTCCGTCTGTGATCTTTACAAACCCATACAAGTATATTGCCTGAATCACGTTGTTTCGTGTATCAAAATGTTGCTCTACTTTTTAACAATTTAGGACATTTCTTTTATCTGTTTTCTACATTTTTTTTCCAAGGGGATATTTGAAAATTAGTAGACTAAAGGAACATTGCACAAGTAGATAGCTAATCATGTTACATGTCTTTGAAGGAAACTAAGGATACAAATATTTGTATTTAAAGTGACTTAGCATCTAGTACCATAGCAAATATCTTGCTATATTTTCAAACGCCAGTGTCACACACATTTAAAATCATGGGTACAGTGATCAAGACATAGATTTTAACAATACTGAATCGTATCACCTAGGTGATGAGGTCAAAGCTTACTTCCTGAATTCCGTAAAAGTTACCAATGGAATCTAGACTTGATTCAGGAAGTAAGTTTTCAAGTTGTAAGAAGAGGATTACACTTACAGACATTTTCTTTGTTGTGATTGATAGAAGTAGTTCTTCTAGACTCCATGAATGTGGCATGATGACCAAGATCAAAGGTAACAGAACCGTTGACCCCAGCAGGCTTTGTTCCGCTGCTATTATTGTGCCCCTTCATTACACACAGAGCCTGCAGATTTACACCCGTCTTAATCCACATGAGTGGCCATTAGGGTTCCTTACAAACATCTCCGTCCACTTTTACAGAAGATTAAGCACCTTCAAAAAGGTTAAAGTGGAAAATTGAGTAAGGATTATACAGAGTGCATGACTATCACGCAGAAGTGCTTTAGGGCTTTTTCCAGCATGGGAGAAGAGAGTTGTATCATACTATCAAACTTTATAATTGATATTACATACTAGTACATGTGTATTGTACAAAACTATTGCTTCAAAACTATGTCCTTCATGTATACTGAAGTCCCTTCCAGCCTTTGCCTTACCATTTCTGGAAAAGTCAGGACAACAGACAGTAATTGAATTTTGTGCTGTTCATTTTGCCCTGACTTTCAATAACCCATTATTGGAAAATGTGTGATAACATTTGATGACAATATGGAATTTCACATCTAACCTTACATATGAACTAAGCCCTTACTACCTTTTATACATGCATTGTGCATTATGTCTACTCTGGAAAATATTTCAAAGTTACTTTCTATTAAACTTATCATCAAGATCACAGAATTTGAAATTCTTACATCTGTCGTCCCTTTAAATTGCTCAGCTTTATAAAGAGTATCCAACAGAGAGGTCACTGGAGGTCAAGTTGAGTGGTGACCTGTTATTCTTGGAACTTGCTCAGGATAATTTGGGTGTGACCTCAAAGGTTGCTGTTTTCCTTTGAAGTGAGAAGAATGCAATTTCCCTGTCGGTGGACCCTATATAACAGCCTCTGGTCCTGTCCAACCCCCTCCTTTGAAAATAAGCACCTGCATTAAAGTCAGGAGCTGTTTAAAGCCCCTTTGTTTCGTTAGTGACCTGGAAACGCCATGGGAAATTTGTGAGGTGTTTCAACTTGATGCCATTTGCTCAGGTGAAAGATACACATACATGATGACTTGAAAGTTTGTCACAAATTTTAACCCTGGAAATGTCACTTATATCATTGATATAAACTTTTGAGACGTGGCAGGCTTTAATACCAACATGTGCATCAGGGTTTCTAAGGTAATTACAGCAACCAATGCCATAATACATTTATGCATTGCTACAAAGCATTACATTGTAGCTATTGGAAAGTTTTGATGGTATATTCTATTGAAAGTAAAAAGCTTGCTTAGAAATAGGAAACAAGCTTATTGCAATATGCCTAACTCTTTGATCATACACTTTACAGTATGTACCAAATGCATTCTGGGTAGTTGTAGGTTTGGTTGTTTGCCAAGAAATAAAAATCAGGTTGAAGTACATGTATGATATCAGTTTGAAACCTAACAACATTTCATCTCGGATTCTCCTAAAATGTAAATTCGATATGATGATGACTTGCATTTTGTCCCTGTAAGTACATAGAAAAGGTACAGATACATGTAACTATCTGCAAGGACGTCCTTGCTATATTTAAGATTTAAAAAAAAGACTAAACTTTGAAAGTAAAGCGAGATATCTAAAACTGTTGGGACTGTTAGACTTTGGCATTCTCTGCTTTGTCAACAAAAGCTATGTTGTTATTTTCTTGCTTGTAGCATAACAGTTTCCCAAGATCAGGCTGCTAAAGGCCTTGAGTTATAGTTAGGCAAACAGAGCTGCAGACAAATGTATTAGCCCTGGATAACCAATAGCACAGCTGGGCAGGCAGACACTGCAGGCACTGACCTCCTTCTGTCACTGGAACATCCATATTTTCCATGGTATGTGGCAGACAGGATTGTGGGCTACTTTTTAATGGACTTTAAATCATTCCTGCTACAAAAACTCGCAGGGGACTGCCGAAATCTGTATGTGGCTTGGTCAATGTTAAATTAGACTTTGTGTAGTTTTGTAGATCATGGCAAAAGATGGTTCATTTACATGATGTTATACATGTTCATGTAGATATAACAACTTGCCACAGACCTAAAACGCATATAGCACCCATCTAAGAAAGAATCCTTTTGTTATGTAATTAAGTTTTGTGGCATTTGTAAAAAAAGCCTAAATGTTTTGGGGCTATTTCAAGACTACAATTTAATTGCACAGTTGCTTTAGGTATATTTCCTTGGTCGTTTAAAGACAAGCTAAAAGTCAATTTTATGTTACAAGTCATGTTACAAGTCATCTCCAACTCCAATTGTTTATATTGACTTAAGAGTTTTGGAAACATTGAAAATACATGTGTGTATGGGAGTCTAGAAAAACCATACAAACGTATCAAAAAACTATTTTAATACCTTGACCTTCAACAAAGAATGTGTTCCTATAAATTCCTACAAACATTTTCATAGGGACGAGTGGCCACACGTGGGAGCTACATGTATCTGAATGATCGGGACATGTTTCAGTTCACAGTTTGCAGAAATAACAGTGATGTTGTTGAGTGTCAGAGGGGGATGGAGCCAGCGTGGTTGGTGGTCTCCTATATGCGGCTTTCAATACAAGTACCACAGATAAGCAAATAGGCACAAAGGGGGACAACAATAGTTGTCAGTTGATATGTCTTTTTTCTTATTGTTAGTCACAAAAAATAACTTTTTCTACCATCATTTCATTAATAAAATTTCAAATGAAAAAAATCATGAGAAAAAAAATCACATGAAGCAACCTTATACTTTGTAGAAAGATCTATATTGAGTACAGTTACTGGTCTTCTGTTTTTTGTAATAATTGAAAACCATTCAAGCCCTTCATGTTTGGGTCAGTGTGGTCAAGGAGGTTCTATAGTGTGGCATGCAACATCAGGTTACATTTCCCTGGTGGTCTCTATTCAAGAACCACAGACCACTCAACCAGTGTCAAGCACCCTTCAGTTGTGCTGTACATGTACATTGTACAGAGAGTGGTTGTCTTTCCATAAGGAAGCCCACCAGGCATCAGAACACTGGACTTATCTTGGGAAAAACTGCCTGGGTGGGATTCCAAAAGGGGGGCAAATTGACATAGAATTTGTAAGTTGTTATAGGAATTTTAAGAGTCCTTTTGAGTCTAGGGATGATGCTGGGCTCATCATACCTTACCTTAAGACCTTAGATCCTCTTACAACCTTGTTGCATAGGTCGACCTACATGTATAGGCTGACCATAATTTGGAAAGATAATAAAATGAACCATACAGTTGAACTTTCATGGTAGCAGAAAGATATCTGTACTTACGTATGCCTTGTGGAGGCTCTGGGCGATAGGTGGGCGGGATGGGATATGGACCAGCAGGAACCTCTGGATTCGGAATCTCCCAAGGCGGGATCTCTCCACTTCCAGACTCCCCTTCGTTAAAGTAGTCCTCGTCATCTGAAGAGTCAGGGGCATCACGTATGGGAGTAAGGTGATTAACAGTCGGCGTATCTGACAAGTCAGGTTCATCAGAGAACTCCATAGAATCCAGGGAGGAGGGAACCCTGTTGTCACTCGGCTCGGTGATGTCAATTTCGTCGATTTCGTTTGTCTCTGTGTCAGGAACTTCCAAGAATTCTTCATCAGAAATGTCTGGGATTCCCGTGAGGTCCATTTCAGTTTGGTTCAGTTGTTTCTCGACCTCGTCCACCTTGTTGGGAGTCACGGTTTCTAAAGCGCTGGTGGGTAGTTCTGTTTCACGTTTCGTCGTTGTGGCCTCTTTTGTCGTCCACTCTTGTTCAGTTGGCTTCTCTGGAGTGACAACAATCAGGAACTTGTCGTCTTCTTCTGTTGGTGTCTCGAGCTGGCCTTCCTCTTCTGTGGTGAGGTCTAGGTTTTCTTCGGTTGGGCCCTCAAACCTGTTCGGTGTTACTCGCAACAGCTCCTCTTCCTCTGTGGGCATCTCTCGTGCTTCTGTTGGAATTTCTGAATGCTCTCCTGCAGTTGGGTACAGCCTCACTTCAGTTGCTACCCTAGGATGAGATACTGCGTGATCAACTGTTGGCATCTCCAGAAACTCATCTGTTGGTGACTCAATCTCATCAGTTGGGATTTCCAGGCCTCCTGTCATTGTGCCGTCCTCCGAAATGATGACCGGGACGTCCACGTGCTTCTCCGTAAAGTCACGCTCTTCTGTTGCCACCTCTGCCCGAGCGAAGGTATGCACTTCTGTGGGGAACTCCTCTTTGCCTTCCCGTTCTGTGTTCTCAGAATCTGTGGGTAGTTCCTTTTCATCTGTTGGAGATTCCAATGGCTTTGAATCGACTACAGACGGTGCTTCCAAGATTTCATGATCGCCTTCGGGTGTTTCCGTCTGAGGTAGATCGGTCAACTCCGTGGATCCAACAAGATCGAGCTGATCCAGCAGGTCTCTCACAGTCGGATCTTCTATATCCACTTCTTTTATTCTCAAGGTCACTCGTTCTGTGTTGTTGAATCTAGTGTCCGTGGGAGATTCCACTTCATCTGTAGGTATTTCATCTACTTGGTTTCCATCTCCTCTTCTTTCCACTTCAGTCAGTAAGAAGTTCTGCAACAGAACAAAAAAGAATTTCAGCCTAACTGTGTGATCGCATAGGCAGGTTTGTCTTTACTGAGTTAGGGAACTAAAATGACCAGACTTCAAGAGGGCTTGTTAGGCAAAATGCCAATGAAGAAACAGCCCATGACTGGCCAAGGAACATCACATAACAGTAATTTTTTCTGAGGGCACAAGAAGTAGTACTGTACGTGTGTTCCACATTTCAACCAATTGTCTTTTAAACTCCTATTCTCTACATCATGTTGTCTTCCTTCAACTTAGAATATTCATTATATAGTTTACATGGAATGAAGTAAAACACACATGTGCAGCATCAAACTGTTTAGATTTATCTTTTGTAAACATACAATTCATTTTTCTTTTTGGTTAGACAGTATGGGGATGAAGTGTCACACTCACATAAACAGTAAACATGTTAGAATGTCCTGTTAGGATTATGTTTTCAATCATTTCCTTGTGGGGAACAGTTACTCAGTCATACGGGCAATGTATATTGTAATAAGAAGCAATGATTGATGGAAATACAAATCTAGACTTATGACTGATGAGGCTGACCCACAACTCTTTAAGGACAAAGATTTAGACATGAAAATTTCCTAAGATATGCAAAATTCGCAAGCTATGTTATAACACCGTGAGTGACTGGGTTACACAGGAAGAACCAGGTACCAAGAGGAACTAAGAGGTCTGTGATGTGGACTCACAACCACCAGCTAAAAGATATCATACCGGCAACTATACAGACAGTCAAGGCCTTCGAAGTTGACATAAACTTGAACTGCAGAAGTAGGGCTCTGACACTTCAAATAAACGGAGCAGCCTTTGCTTGGCAGTGACATACTGTACAACAAACATGTCCACACAAGGGCACGCCCATCTCCCCTCCCTGTGTGCCAGTGGACTCAACCTCTTGACTCTCCTTGTAATGAACAAACAGTTAAATCACGAACAAACGATAAACCCTATCTGTTAGAGAAGGTCCACATGCACATGACTGAGATTTATTTGATTGTGGTCCCTATATTCAAAGGTGAAGTGTTGATTATTGCTTTCCTACTGTAATGAAAACAACTGTCCTGCTGTAATGAAAAGCCATGTACATTGCATGAATCTCAGGGACAGTCCAATAGTGGAAAATGGGAAGGGCGGTTGTGTGGCAAAAAAACAAACTCAGAAAATTTGCTTAATTACCAGATTCAGAAATAAGGAAATAAAACAATCAATTTAAACTGAACAGTTTTCTACACGAATTGGCTGATAATAAAATATATTTCATTAATGCTTGGAAGTTTTCCAGGACAAAAGGCTCCATTCTCTCAAATTTAGTTAATATCTCTCTTTCCTATAGACGATTTTCCAAGTTCAACCCCAGTAACCCCTTTCCAAGTTCGAACCCAAAAACCCATTCCCAAGTTCCCACTCATGTAATCCATTCCGGAGTTCTGTCCCCAGTAACCCATTCTCAAGTTCCAAGCCAAGGTACCACTAACCCATTCCACATTCTGACCCCAGTAAGAGGTGAGGCATCCTCTGCCATTTCCTGTTAACTGAACTTTCCTTGAACCATGTCTGGACAAACACACACATCTCATATTCACCAACTTCCATCTATTTCCAGGTCGTAACAACCACACCATTATACAAAACATACCGGTCCCATAGTTCAACCATTTCACCATACATTTCAGAAATGTCATCACTGAGTGTATATTAGTTGCAAACAAGAGTAAGGGAGGAACAAAATGTATTTCGATGCAATCATAAACGGGATGGCATTTCGTACATGTTGGGTCAAATTTATTTGGCCTTGCTGGCATGCTTACCCGTCTGGAACATAAATGCGTTATGGCGCTGCAGTCTATATATAAGTCAGCTTTGTCAGATTGGTGCTTCTCGGACATGTATATATGCTGGGCCATGACAACTTAAAACATGGAACGTGACCTTTTTTACTGATTTAGTATACCCTGCCTAACCTACATGTTGTCATTCTGCTCAGAACATATTTTTCCTTGCATGGGGCATTAATAACAAAGAATGAAAAACCATCATATTCTAACATGACACAATATCTAACTATCTTGTACTACATCTAGGTAGATAAAGAGGACATTACCAATATAGGATCTACATTCTCAGCTTTAACTAAGAGTTCCACGATCTCATACCTTCGCCAAATGATGTTAACCCTTGCGGTTAACGAATTATACAATTTTAATAATTGATTTCGCAAATAAGAGCGTCATTTGCATGGATTATATCAGTTGATCATATTCTCCACCCAATGGCAGCCTTATCTTAATAAAATAAGCTATTCTAGCACTTCCTCATAAATTATGCAAATAAGGTCATCATGTGAATAAATTATCTTCATTGATGTTCACCTTCACTTAACTTCCAAATGCGGCAAGTATGAAATTCCCAGCAATTACAACTATGAAATTATAACACTTTCCCATTAATTATGCAAATTAGGTCTTCATTTACATAATCTATATCCTCAGATGTTTTTCTAATTCTCAATTACATGTCACAAGTGTTTCATAGTCCTTTTATCGAACGAATCAGATTTATAGAACTTCTTCATTAATTATGCAAATTAGCTCCTGATTTGCATAATTGTCATCTGATTATGTCAAGCATCACTTCAGCTACCTACATACCAAAAATCATGACAATCCGTCAACCGGTTCTTGAGTTATCAACCTTCGGAGATTTTTCAAGAAACGTTCCTGCAGTTCCAGAACAAGCTGCTAGGGGGTCTAAACTCAGGTCACATCTTCCCTACCCCAAGAGCTATCTACCAACCAAAATTCGTGGCCCTAGCATGTCTAGATCGCGAGATATCAAAACCGGAAGTTCTGCTGCAGTACCAAGAAAAGCCGCCAGGGGCCCCCAAATCTAATCATTTCTAGGTCTCATTAAGACCTACCCACATACCAAGTTTCATGACAATCCATATTAAGCTTCTTCAGTTATGCTGTTCACAGACAGACAGACGGACAGACAGACGGACAAACGCTACTGAAAACATAACCTTCTTGGCGAAGGTAATTATACAAAATGCAAGACAAATACCATAATTTACATTTTAATGCTCAGCATTCGTCTACAAAGCAGCTATATCAGTCCAACTATGCAGGTTACCGAATGACCTAAACATCCGTAGGAAATACGTCTCCATGGGTTTTCCCTGCAATAACAACTGAGTTGAGGTTCTTATTTATAACCTTCCTGTAGGCACCATGGGTTCGGCTCTCCAGACATAACAAAGACTGAGTTTTCTTCATAAGAATAGCTGCAGATTCTGCAGGTTTTCCTGTCAACCCTATCTTGACTTCTAACCCCTGCAAGGGAAAGACATTGTTGTATGCAGCTATCACTGTGACCCATTAGGGGCATTTAGGGGGGCTTTCCTTTTATCATGTATGTTACAACTAAGTGAAAATGTCCCAATAAAGTATCTTGTTTGGCATGTCTGTTGAAATGTAAATCTGTTGACTGGGGTTTACAGGTACATGCACATGTTTATGTGCATCATCAACTGCTGTGAACAGCATTTGAATCTAAAAATCTGCAATTCAAAATCACAATTTGTAACCTGTGTATGTTCTTTAAATTTCTTTCTTTGTTTTTATATATTGGTATGTAAAAATAACTACATTTACTTCATTTAGGAGGAGTTTGAATGATATGATTAATTCACATCCCCAAATACCAACAGAATGGACAAGACCTTCTGGACTATCTACTGTGATGTCTTTGTTTGTAACTACCTAGCTTTGAATCGGTTCATGAAGTTTATAAAGAAGCCTTGTCTTCAGACTTATCCTTCCCACAGTGTAACTGGGATGTCAAGGTCAAGCACACTTTCATCTGACATCATCCATTGGCCACAGGGCCAAGCATAACGGCCAATCAGTTTCACCTGCCTCCCCTAGCCTCAAGATTCAGCCAGATGATCTTAATTGGGGAATGTCACCCTGTCTCCCTGTGTCAGTGTAAAATGGCCTCCCTAGTGTGATGTGCCACAGGACTTCGCTATGGGTGGTCATCTGTCAGTCAGGATGCTAGACATGCTCTAAGGCCAACATTCTTTCACAACAGAAGGGAGAGTTTCCACATAAAATATGCACATTATAATACTGACTTTTAATACTTCAATTTTTTTCCAGTTCAAGGATCTGACCATCTGTTGTTGAAAAATAGTAAAGTAATCATTTGAACATGAAAGCACATCTTCATTACAAAGACTGTGGACAAAAATGCTATTTTGACTCAAGGCATCCCTGTCTCATCCCCACTTGGTCTCCGTCAGCCCTTTTTACCCTTTCGTCAAACAGTTAAATACAAAGTAAACACAGGGAACATTACAGAGTGTACTTGTTCTCTATAGCCTCTCCTTACGGAGCAGGTCAGCTATGTTTGCAACCAGGTTGTTAGGAGACGTCCTGTAGAAGCACTGCAAATGATTTCCTGGGCCGCCTGCCAATGTGTACGTTCAGACTAAACTTTGTCACGCTCCCAAAACGGAAGCTTTTAAACCTTCTACAAGACTTTTAGCCCCCATTATGGTGTGTACACCTTTTCATACTTGTCAATGATATGAACTAGCTTTTACTTAAAACATTCTAGCCTTGACAGACTGCTGAATGCAAGGCACACACCACCAAGGTCGTGCTGTGGATTCAAAACTATGAAAATTGTAAAAACAATATAATATTGGTACTCTTGCATTTAGAATCAACTACTTGGTGTTCTTTACAAGAAAAACACAAGGCCAAAAGCAGTGTCCCTTACTCTGTCAATATTGTTTTATTCAGAATGTGACCTTCAAAATACTGCACCTCAAAATACTGCACATTGCTTTAGCAACTTATTGTCTCTTTGGAATAACAACAGAAATCAGTTTAACTTAAGTCACAGTTTCCCCAACTTTATGCATCCAAAGTGAATTTTACTCAGGTTGAACTTGAGTCAATATTTCT